GTACATGCTAAGTCAACAGCATTGATTACTCATCATGGGCCCTAAGGTTTCGGGTCTAAGCAGGAAGGTTATATCCTCAAGTTTGCAATCGAATATCGTGTCCCGTGTAGTTCGTACAATCTTGATTGTATGGACCTCTTTTAAACCCAAGTTAAACCCTGCCAACCCTAGCCCAAATATTGATAGACTTATGGCTTAGCCACAATGTGCTATTGATTCAATCAATGAGCTGCCTATGTTCCTCCATTTTTGCACAAAAAAATTGACATGGATGGGGGATGAGGAAGTGGAATATCCATGATTTGTTTGTCTTTTAGCTCGTGTACTAGGTTGGTAGAAATGCCTATTTCTTCTCCAAACCATAAAAATGGTTCAAAATTGACAAATTTACAATACAAATTAGGAATACATAAGCCTTAAGATTGATTATTTGCAAGATGCAACCAAATTGTGGGATAGGTAAGGGAAGGCCGAAAGGGTATTGCCAGCTTTACCCCTAAAAATAGGGTGTGGTTAACTGGTTATTGTTACCATAAAAAATGTTAAGGTTATCAGAATTTTAGTTTTTATTTTTAAACAATGTTTGAAATATTAGTTTGTTGATTAATTTTAATTTGTGAAATAATAAATATCAACTATTTAATTAGTTATTTGTTATATTTATTAGTCATTTTTATCAATTAAATTAAACAGAATTAATATTTTTAAATATAATATTTTACAATTTTGGTGGCCTTACCATTTTTGTTGATGACGGTAACCTTGCCCCTAAAAACTGTAATTCTTTCTTTTCAAATATAGGCCTGTTTGGTTGCTCAAAAACTCAGAAAAAAATATCATGAGAAGCTAAAAATTGCCAGCCAACTATAATCAAGATTTTCACTTTCCTTAGCACAAATCCTAAGGTTGCAATATAATTGATTATATTATTGAGATACTTGATTATATGGGTATTTAGGTGATATAATGGATTTTTTTTTTTTTTTGGTTATAAGTGATTATATACTATAGAAGCAAATCTTCTGAGATATTTTTTCAAAAAGTATTTTTTAGAATATATAATTGATTATATCTCGGGTATAAGTGGTTATGTGCCTTTAACCCATAAAAAAAAATGCTGGATGTATGTTATGACTCAATAGCTCACAGCTTCCTGAGGTATTATTTTCGGGATCATGGGCAACCAAACACGTTCTATAATAAAAGAAAATCATCAATCTTGAAGTTTATTTATTTTTAACTTGTCAAATAAGTTTTTTAATTTAATATATTTTTATGGTTTGACTAAGAGAGGGACATTACTCTAAACAATTCAGTCTTACAATATGTTTAGATTGAGAGGAATAGAAGAGAGAGGAGAGAGGAGAGAGGAGAGAGGAGAAGGGAAAAAAATTTCTCTATTTGGTTATCAAAAAATTGGAGGAGAAATGAGGGAAAAATTTTTCCTTTACTTTATAGTTTCTTTTAATTAATTTATTTATTTAAATCAAGAAAGGGAGAGGAAGGAAATGGAGAGAAAAATGGTGGATACAATTCCCCTCTCCTCCCTTCCCCTTCTTTCCCCTCCTCTCCATTTCTCAACCCAAAGATATGGTTAGAGAATTTGAAAAAAAAAAAGAAAAAGAAAGAGGAGATATTAGCACAAAATTAAGCAGTTGGTTTGCTTATCTAGAGTTAAAAATCTAAGTTGAATTCAATACTTAAAAAAAAGTTATTTGTGCCTACCAGCGCTAATCCTAAATATTAATGGCAATGTTATAGTTATAATGGTATTAAATGAAACATGACATGGTGTTAAACAAGTAAACACATATGATATTATAAGTGGATCTCTGAATGAAAATAGTTATTTATATAACGACGTATTACATTGTAAGTTTGCAATATTACATTGTATTATAATTATAGTATTTTTAAAAAAACTAAATTCACTAATAAACAAGTGTCATTTTTGAGATAAAGTATAAGATTTAAGTCATCATGTTAGCACTCAAAAAACTCATATATTCTTAAATATACAAGCTAATGTTTAAGGTATGTTTTTAAGATATCATCTAAAGTTAATTAGTCATATTTTTTTACGGAAAAAAGTTACAAACTCAGGATATATAGACTACCCACTCTGTTCCAAAATAATTATTATTTTTTGATTTTAAGTTTATTTCAAAGTAATTGTCATTTTTTATTTTTTAAGGTAGACAAATATTTTTTTCTTAGTTTAATCCTATTATTATCCATTTATTTTGATTAATTATCCTATTAGAAAAAGTCTGATTTTATCTTTTAGCTTTTTCCTAAGGATAATAGTGCAATCCAGCTTAAGCTCCAGCAGATAGCTGCAATGGCTTCAGCACAGTAATTAAGAGGTAAGAGGCTGCAAGTAGCACAGCATGCAGCAGGAGGTCGGAGGCAGCACAGTAGGCAGCAAGAGGCCGGAGGCAACATAGTAAGGGGTATGTGGCAGGCGGAATGTTAGGGACTTAGGGTTAGGAGAAAGGCAAAGAGCGAGAGAAACTAAGAAAAGAAAGAGTGAGCATGTCGGTAGAGAGTGGGATGAGTAATAGGGGTAGGATTAGATTTAGATATGAGTTGGGTTGGGTTTGGTTGAATAAAATTGGGCTAAAATTAATTTATATTGACTTGGCTCTAAGTTGTATTGGGTTGGGTTAAATATAAAATAAAATTAATTTATATATTTGTTAATTTTTAATGGGGAATGGGGACCTTGCAAGACGGCAGGGTTGGAAAAATTCTTTACACAAATTCATTGGGAGAAAATGCTCTCCGTTCCTACTCCATAAGAAGAAATATTCTTTCTTGCCCAACCCCACGTATCCTCACAAAGCTCCACAAAAATTGAAGAAAATTGTCACCCTTATGTGTCCCGATATCTAAATAGATATTCGTTTTTAGTTTGAACTTGTGTATTATAAATATGTTGAGAAACAACTCAATGAATGTATTAAGGATTTATTGATGTAAAGTATATGAAACAAAAAAAAATTAAAATTCATAATATGGTGGAGAGAGAGTAAAGAACAATTAAAATTCATAATACATGGTGATTGTTTCGCATTTTTATATTTTATATTTTATTTTATAATTTTAATTATTTTTAGAAATTAAGTACCATCTTTAAATGATGGGGATTATAATTGAATAAGCATTGTAATCAAAATGAATCAAAACTAAGACTAATATTTATAGCTAAGTCAAGAGTAAGGGGAAATTAAATGTAATTTTGATTCTTTAATTCTTGAGTTTTGCATCTAGAGTTTAGAAATATGTATCGTTATTTGGTTAACATTTTTCTTCTTTTACAACATCAGAAGCTAATTAGTCATATGTTTTTTTAATCAGTAATCGTGCTACCGGATGTTGGAGAAAAAACAAGGAGTTTGGTGGTGCAATTTTTGCATTAGAACATTCAAACCACTTCACATCCTATATCGAAAAATTTTTAATTTTTGTTATCGAGACAAAAGGAGTACTTCACTTCCAATTTTAGCTGCGATATAAGTCTGTCGTTAATTGGTGAGGTACAAATTGTTTCTCAGCAAGAAATGGCCAGATTGCAATTTTCAAAAAGTGGTACTGTTGAACAGAATCATGTCATGATCCCATCAAATTCAATCAGGTTTTCTTGATGTGTGTAGCTGTACTTACAGTGCAATTGCATCCCAC